CGCCGACCTCAATGGTATTTGTTCGCCACCGAGCCTCTCGACTGGGAGAATAATGACCTCCCTGAACCCGTCCCACTGAAAATAGGACCCACTGAGCTGGCTCGCATCTGATGGGGCATTAGGGAAATTACCCGGGGCTCTAGCGTGTTCAACTGTACGCTGATTTAGTTTGTTTCATTTGCCAAAATAGTGCAGTCTGAGGTGATGTGTGGTGTAGTTAGGTAAAATTGTTTTCAGATATGTACCTTGTTATATATATATATATATATATATATATATATATATATATATATATATATATATATATATATATATATATATATATATATATATATATATATATATATATATATATATATATATATATATATATATATATATATATATATATATGTGTGTGTGTGTGTGTGTACCTTGTTCGTACCGTTAAAATTCAATACAATATCAATGCCTTCAATACAATTCACTATTCAGATCGATGCAAATAAATTTCATAATTTTTGTTCCTACCGCCATAAGCGAGAGCCTGTATGTCCATACATTGCTGGTTTTATCTAGTTTAGTTAATTGTTTGCTCATACTTCATTTCTGTTGAAGTGATCGACTTAAAGATCTGAAAACTATCATCAGCCATCCATAATCCACTATGCAAAGTCCCAGAAAAAGGGTTAACTTGATGGCTGATGCATAAGTTTATATCGTTGACGGCCATGTTCACATTTCGTTGCTGCTAACCGCCTAGGGAGCGGGCGTTCTATTGATTTGCCCCTGCAGCTGACGTGGCGTGTGCCCGAGCTGGGGTGTCCGTCCCACATGTTTATGATAATGTCTGCATTCACTTCCACCTAACATTACGTCCGCTGTTGCAGCATACAGTGCAGTGCGAGTAGATGACGTGGACAAAGCTGGCTGCCGCTGATAGTGGATAGCAAAACCATGTGATGCAATGTATGTCATTGTGAAAATGGCCATGTTTGGTTAGACAAGTCGCCTGGTCAACAGAGGCTGTTTTTTTTTCTGGTCAACGCTGGAGGCGTTTGTTTCACTTATGTTTGCCTCAACCTTTACTCACACTACGTGATTTGCATGTCACACCCGTAACACATCGCATCATTGATCTGCTCCCAGCTGACTATTGTGTCTCTCTGTGTCCGCAGAGAACATTTTCCGGCTGTACCGGCGGGTGCAGGAGATGGGTGGTTACCATGCCGTCTGCGGACGCCGACAGTGGCGCCACCTATTCTCCGAGCTGGGCCTCGATGCCGGAAAGACCACGGCCGGAGCCTCCCTGCGACGCTGCTACGAAAAGTAAGAGAGAATGTCGATTGTCGGCAACAGTGCTTCGTTAAATATAGTATTATTAATAGCATGGAAATAAATGTTGTTTATAGAAGAAAGGTATCTGACCTTGAACGTCAACGAAGACGATACGGGACGGGGACGCATTGCGTGACCTGTGTAGAAGAGCGAAACGTGAAACGTCTGAGTTTATTGTACAAGCTTAGTGCTGCTCACTGATAATCCATGGCAAAACAACTGATCCCTCCCCGTTCCCTCAGGCTGTGCCTGCCGTATGAGCGGCACGAGCGGGGTCTGCCCGAGTCGGCCACGGCGCCGCCGCCGCCGCTCACCAGCCACCACAAGACGACGCCGACGTCGTCAGTGGGCCAGTCGCGCGCGGCGCCGGCCGCCTCGTCCGCCGCCGCTGCGGTGCTCTCCTCGGTGGCGGCCGCAGTCGGGCGCGGCCACAAGCGGGCCTCTCCGGACGCGGCCGAGGTGGCGCTGCTGGCCCAGGCGCGGCCGGCCATCACCATCACACCCGTGCTGCCGCGGCCGGCGGCCGACCCGGCCGCGCTGGCCGGCTACACGGCCCTGCAGCGGCTCAGCTCGATGGCCCGACAGACGGAGGCCAAACGGCCGCGCCTGGAGCCGCCGCCGCCGGCGCACCAGGGCGCGCCGCGCCGCCCGCCGGCCGGCCGGCCGCCGGCCTCCTCCGCAGGCCCCGTGGAGGTGATCGACCTGACGACGGGCGGCGTGCGGCCGCCGGCGCCGCAGCCGCCGCTCTCTGAGCCGTCCCGGATCGGCTCCATCACCATCACACCGGTACAGAAGGTGGGCGCCGCGCCGGCGCCGGCCGCCGCCGCGGGCGCCGGCGGCTCCGTGGAGCACCTGCTGGCCCTGCACATGGCCTCGGCCGCGCTGCCGCCGCCCATGCTGCAGTACATGGGGCTGATGCAGGCCGGCGGCAAGGAGCGGCTGCAGCGGCTGCAGCAGCAGCTGACGCTGCAGAGTCTGATGGCGCAGAGACTGGTGCTGATGCCCGGCGGTCTGCACGGCCTGTCTCCCGAACAGGCCGCCAGTCTGGAGGCCTACCAGCGAGCCATGATGCAGGCGGGACTGCGCCGCTCGTGAGGCCGAGCGCCTTTGGATGGGGCGAGGACCGTTCAGAGGTCCAGTGACTCGCTGAAGGGGACACGATGGACTCGTGTGCCGCGCTGCCACCGTGTTTGATATCATTTTTTGTGGCTGAGTTGTCACTGACTGAGAGGGAGTGTGGATTTTTGTAACGGAGTTCGGGTACCGAGTGAAGGAGTGACCAAGGCACGGAGTGAGGAGCGGACGTGCGCCGCGGGATGGCGCTGTGAGCGAGGGTCCTGGGTGCGTCTAACGGCGCCGGGGACTGGCCCGGCGCACGGAGGGTGTGCTGTGTGTATGTGTGTGTGTACAGTGCGTCATCTGAGCAGCGGGAGCTGGGCGTTTGACGGGCGGGGAACCGAGGACCGCGAGCATGTGAGATCGCCGAGCGAGAGGAGTACAAACGGAGTTCCGTGGCGCGCCGGCCCTGACCACCGCGCCTGGGGCCGAACTGCCGCCGCGCGGGGCTCCGAGCGCGCGCCGCGGCCCGCCGGCACACGCCACCCCACCATTGTCGCGCTTACCGTCGGATTGTGCTCATCTCGTGTGTCGCGAAAAGACTGTCGACGTGTATATTTTTGCCCATGCTGGCTGCGTTCCGTGGCATTCTACAGTGTTCCATTTTTCGCTCAGATTCGGTTCGTTTAAGGCCTGTGCTAACGATGGTTTTACTTTTTACGACGAGACCTGATCTGCAACAGCCCTTTTAGAATAGCTTTGGAACTTTGCTAGGTCGTTGTATAGTAATATAGCTGTAACGCTTTCTACATATGCGAGGGCTTTCCTGAAATGTTAATGCATTTTTCTTTCTTGCTCGCGCATTATTTTGTAACGGCTTTCTGTAGCTCTTCTGTCGTGGCCATTTTGCACTGTCCAATTGAAGCAAGCGATTGTCTTTCATATCGTGCTGCATAACCGAGCAGATGCTGTACAAAATAAAACGTTTCAAATCAGTGTCGGTTGTGCCACTCTACGATCTCTGGTCGTCACTTTACAGAAGGGGCCGTGAAGTACATATCTCGGTCGTGGATGTATGGATTTGGCCAGGATCAATTCTGTATGCATTTCTGTATGCGTTCTCTTCCGTTATCCGTATTTAGTTCCTCAAATTCATCACGTGATGACAAAAGTTGAAGCATATCCATAATCCGCAAGAGCAGTTGCCCTCATAAAGATTTTGTTGTTATAGGTTATTACCAAGGCTAGTTATTACTTATTGCAGTGTAGTGTAGCCCGGTAGGCACTAGGCAGGGGGCCCCTGCCTACATGGGGCTCTGCGGCAGAGCTCTGCCATATTTTCAGGATTGTGGAGGGGGGTTCCGATTCAAAAATGTATCATTTTATGCATTGGGTAATGGGTGGCATCAAGATTAGGTACTTTTGGGGTTACAGAAGCTTGAAATTCGGAGATTCCGCGGATTTACTTTACGCTCATAAGAAAATCTTTTCATTTCCCTTCATATGGAACTGGAATGGCAGAGACATTCACTGCGCAGGAGTTACGATTCAGAAAGGCGCGAAATTGACGGCGGCGCGTGCACATGGAGGCGCCGTGTGTGGGACATGCCTAAGAGCTGGACTTTTTGCACGCGTTCCCCGCCAGGGGGCGCCACTGAGGAAGCACCCTCTGACGTCACGATAAAACTGCGCGCACTGTGCGCACGGTTCTACAAGCAAGTAATATAGTGGTGGTTTCATGGTGGAAATTGGAATAAGTATTTTGACGTTGTAAAATTTCAAGCCGTTTTTGTGAAATTAATTAGTAAATGCATTTCAAAAGTATTTATTTAAAGTGTGAAAGGAGAATAATTAGAAGAACATGGGTATTTTTGTTCCAATAGCTTATTATGTGAGACATGATCGGTACTAACGGGTACTTCTAAGAAGTAGTGAAGAAGTACCAAACAGCCTGCTCGGCTACGATCGTCAGCTGTCCTTTGGAGCTGGACTTCAACGCTGTAAAAAAAAATATGTGCCGAATTAATTTTTAGTTTCACCAAAATATAAGCAATTTATCATTTCTTTTTCACTTTTGTAATTATTGTTGAGTGAAGAGACATGTTGCTAGTTCTGACAATATAAATTATTAATTTAAAAAAACGAAATGCGACGGTAAGTATCTGCTACTAAATTATCACTTAAACCAAATACATGGAGAATCTTGCTACCATTGCTTATAAAGCGTGCTTATCAATACACAAATGTTATATTTCAGACAAGAAGGATTTATTTGCCTGAAGTCTTGCGTCATGTGATACTGCTTTGATTCCAAAGACGCTCTCCGGGTCGGGGTAATTTAGTTCTTCATCGATCGATAAGAGATTTTGATTCCATTGATATCCAAATTGATAAGCTCGGCACCATGGAGTAAGGGCGTCCCCACAGGGGTGACGCAGGAAATATGAATGGCGTTTACACCGACAGTAGTTTCCCACAGCCGGCAATGGGAATCTCCTGTCTGTGTAAACGCCACTATAGTTCCATCCAACTCAAACACTGGGGAATATCCCCGCACTTTTGAGGGCGGAAATCTATGGACCTGCTCGAAAAATAGTGGATAAAATACGGCGAGCTTTCAGTTTTATGGTTGGGTCTCCCTTCCGAGGCACATATTTACGGGGGATATTGGGTCATATTCCCCGGCGTCCTGATGATCGGCGCCCAGCTCAACGTCGAAGGCGCCCTGATACGCGGCACTGCTATCTGTGAAGGTGCCCAGGTTGCTGCCGCTCGAATTTTGGTCGCCTACTTAACAAAACCTCCGTTGGTGCCATCTCAGTTTCCTCGAGGTCAGGCAACCTTCACACGCCGTTGGCTACCTTGGCTGGCCGGCGACTCGTTCCCCTCGTGGCGACGCTCTTGACATCCAGTCAAAGGTTGGAGTGGCTGGCGCCCCCAGTGGGGGCCGGGGAAGGGGCAGTGGGCCTCCACGTTGCTCTCTTCCCGAGCCTATGGTGACTTGGCTCAACTCTCCTCAATAGAATCTGGATTCTGCACGCTGTATTAACATGGGCGTAGACACCACTACGGACAATACGGACAGTGGGTGTGACAATCAGTAGTGCCATTCATATAGAGGGTGTCATATATGAGCGGAGAGGCAACAGTACAGCTGAGCGGAGAGACAACATTAAAACAACAGTACAGCTGGCGTTGCATGGAGCTGCAGGCAACCGGACAGCGGAGGCTTGCGAAAAATAAACAATTCGTCACTTCAACGTATAAACAATAGTATAAAAAGCAACATAAATACATATTCTCATGGTCGAACCCATGCACTAGCGGCTCACGGCGGCCACAGGCACGCAGTGCGGTAGCGGTACCGGATCACACGTCATGGGCGTTGTCTCAGCATAGGTTGTTATGAGCGGAGAGGAAACAGTACAGCTGAGCGGAGAGACAACATTAAAACAACAGTACAGCTGGCGCTGCATGGAGCTGCAGGCAACCGGACAGCGGAGGCTTGCGAAAAATAAACAATTCGTCACTTCAACGTATAAACAATAGTAAAAGCAACATAAACACATATTCTCATGGTCGAACCCATAAACTAGAGGCTCACGGCGGGCACAGGCACGCAGTGCGGTAGCGGTACCGGATCACACGTCATGGGCGTTGTCTCAGCATAGGTTGTTCGCAATCTAGTTGAAGCCTAAGAAGACGGCTAGTGGGGTCTCACTGCTGCTGAGGCGACCTCGGAGACGATGCGTCGCCCCTCCTGTCGGCGACCTGCGGTGAGCAGGACTCCAGATAGCTTTCTGGCACGTTGCCGACACTGCCAGACGCTGTCAGTAGGCCTCACTGTTGCAAGTGATGTGCAGATGGACGCCAGGTGACTTCGTCTGCAGGCGATTCCGGAGACCGCGGCCTCACCAGGCAGTACCACCTGCATCGCCATGTCGGTGTTTCTAGAAATGGAAAAATAACAGTATCGGTGAAGGAAAAGCAATACAATGTATTCTGTTTTCCTCTCTTGCAGGTATACGTAATCTACAATTATCATTGTTCCTATTTCAATCAACTTAACCTGAAAATTCCATATTGGCACATTGTTTGACTAAATTTGTGTAGTTGGGAACAGGGGCGACGCCACGGTGCGATGACTGGAGGGGACATTGACCATTTTGGAGGGGACGAAGACCATTGTCGATTCTTTACATGCAACGCCATAGGCGTAATGTTAAAATTTTAAAAAGTGGAGGGGACGAGATCCCCTCCGTCCCCCCCTGTGGCGACGCCCTTGGTTGGGAAGCAGATTGTTTGAAATACATGTTTGGCTGAACAGTGTGGAAAATATTTCATTGATACTATAGCTGCAACAAAAATACTGAGACAGAAAACATTTGCGCTTACCTGGCTCCTTAGTCAGTCCCGCACAACTGAAGTGCAGGTACTATTTATCGCAGCCGTCGCATCCGAACATCGGTGCTGCACTGATGCTGCTGCACTCCCCACATTCCCAGTACCTTAGGAGCGCCTTGGCTGTGAAAAGATTACATGAGTCATGGCGCATACATGAATAGTAAGATGTTTTATATGTTTAACATCACATAGCAAAGACACAACAGCTGGGAGTCAAGTGTAAGCCAAAGTGTAAGCCCAGCCATGTTTTGCAGACTGGATTTTAAGCAAGAAAAGCTTTGCTAAAAATGACCCTTGACGAAGCCTCATCCTACTGGGCTGTCTGACATGTCTCCCTGTAAAAAGCATGTGGCCCTTATATTGAATATATGATGAATATGTTAATAATGCAGAGAAAACACAGTATAAATTATACCCAACGTTTCACCTTAATCGACTTTGTCAAGGGTGTTTGAACAGCTTGAGATGAGTGAAGTGTAAGGGTACCTAGATACATCCGACAATAAACTGAATCTGCGTTCAATGAACATTGATTTTGATAATACATTTCACAAATCAACTACTAATAACAATCATACTAAAATAGCACGACAGATAACTAACAATCTGAATCGCATAAAGAACCTCTTGATTCGCCTTGACATTGTCGTCCGAACGAGTTCTCCCAACGTTGTTGTTGTTGTTGTTTTGGTGTAGGGCGCATAGCCTCTTGGGCTCAGAGCGTCCAGAAGTTGTCTTCACATCTTCTCTTCCTTCTTGTCATGGCCAGGGAATGGAACTAAGCGATCCATGGGACAAGGAAATGCGTTGCCAGGATTTGTCCAGTTAGGATTTATCAGTTTAGGTTGGTATTGCCGTAGTTAGATGTTAGTGATTGGTCAAACTACACTAACTAAAAATAAAAATAAAGTAAATTAAAGAGAAAGAAAAACAAACATCATACATTTCACAAGTTTAACATCAGCTCATACTCATAAGGCCTGCACTCAGCCATCACGCCAATCGTTCACATATGATCAACATATCCGCGTATATACCAAAAACGTATCAGAGTATATAGAGTAAACATATGTTCCTCTGTTATCCTGTAAGAGGAGCGCGCTGTGTTTCAGCTCGGCCTATCGCACACAGCAATGTGGTCTACACTGATTGTGCACGGTACTGATATAGTCTGAATATGTGTGTGTGCGACTGTCAGTACCGATATATTGTAGCGGTTTAGTGTACGCGAGTGCCGTGGCGGGTGGGGAGGGAGGGGGAAGCAAATCACCGAGTTAGTAGCAGCTATTTACCATTGTTATAAATCTCTACTCCTTCTACTCCACTCTCATGTTTTCCATTCACTGTCATTCATCATTCATTCATTCATTCATTCATCTCATTCTCATCCATATCATACTTTCACAGCATACATCACAGCTCATTATCACTCATACACAGCATAGTAGACAACAACAGAGACTTGCACTAAAATAAACAAAACGGTAAAGACTGTACATATCACAGCCACATAACATAAACATACAATAAACAATATAATCTTAAATTTTCTTAAACAGTTCACTATCGTGTAGAAACTTAAACAAAGCGTCAGTAATATCAGGGTATGAGTCACCAAGTAGAGTACCCAGCTCCATCGGCGCACCATGGTGCCGGCACAGTACACTGAGATGTCTTCTTTGGTCAGCGTAGTTCGGACATTCAATTAACATGTGTTGCACTGTCACGTACTGGCCGCAGGTACTACATTCTGGTCGCACATCACGGTCTATAATAAACGAGTGCGAGATTCTGGTGTGTCCAAGCCGCAGTCGACATAACACTATTTCCTCACGTCGGACATTCCGGCGACAAGACACCCAGTTCCCCGTAACATGCTTTATGCTCTTAAGGTTTGTCTGGCGAGTATCGTTTACCCACATGCTATTAAATTGATCAAAACATGCTGCACGGATAAAAGACACATATTCCTGCACAGACACTTCATACTCCTCCTCGGTCCTATCTAGTAAAACAGCCCGTTTTGCTTGAAGGTCTGCCTGTTCATTCCCGTAGATTCCACAGTGTCCAGGGACCCAAAGGATTACACACCGCAGATTGTGTTCCTTCAGACAATGCAAAGTATCCTTAATGTCGGTAACCATAGGGTGGTTACTTTCATTTGTTTGCAGGGCTAATAGCAGCGAGAGGGAGTCGGTACAAATGACGCTGTTTGCCAGTTGGTTATGTTGGACATAATGTACAGCTTGGAGCAAAGCAACACACTCAGCTGTAAAAATCGAGTAGTCACGTTTCAGTTTCGTTTTATACTGCATGTTTCCGTGCACGAAAGCACATCCCACGCCCCTTTCACTTTTCGAACCGTCAGTGTAAAGGAAATGATATCCAGGGTGTGTACCCTTAAACTCTTCAAAGGCCTGCAAAACATCACATCTCTCCAAATTAGCCTTCTGCTGTTCAATTAGTTTATGTGCGTCACACTGGTGTCGCTGCCATACAGGGTAAGCACTGGCTTTAAGCGTCACATCATTGGGAAGAACTATCCGAAGGTTTCGGGCGACATGTTGCAGACGTTCATAGAAGGGGAATCCAGATATTCGCTTAATATATCCCCACTCTAGGTCAGGTAGAGTAAAGGTCCCGTCAATGTAGTCTCGACATGGATGTTCATCGTATCCTGTCACTTTTAGGGCATATCTGACAGTCATCTCCCAACGTCGTAGGAAGAGTGGCGGTACATGTGACTCAACCTGCAGTGCCATTACCGGAGAAGTCCGCAATGCTCCTGTAGCTACCCTCAAACACGCGTTCTGTATGCTTTCAAGGGAGTGCACTGCATTGTTTGCTGGTCCATCAAGGACCTGACAGGCATATTCTAGGATGGGACGTATAAGGGATTTGTACATCCTCAACAGAATGGTTCTGTCGGCACCATATTCACGTCCGGATATGCATTTCAATATGGGAATGCGTTTCAATGCTCTGGCTCGAACGTACTGGATATGTTTGTTCAAGTTTAACTTGGAGTCCAGAAACACTCCAAGAAACTTTACATTGTCACAGTATGCAATTGGTTCGTCTTTAATCCGTAGTAGGGAAATGTGATCTAATTCAGTTCTTTTCATATATCGTCCAAATATCACTGCATTACATTTGGTAGGCGTGAAAGTAAATCCCCACGTATCTGCCCACTCCACCAAGGAATCAAGTGCGTTTTGCATGGTTGTTATTAGTTGTGGAAGATGCCTTCCTTGTAACCAAATTGCACAGTCATCTGCATACATAGCATAGGAGAACTCATCTGAAATACCTTCAAAAATATCATTTATCATCAGGTTAAAAAGTATCGGCGAAACAACTCCCCCTTGGACGACTCCATTCTCCTGTTCAAAAATCTGTGATAATCGACCACACTTCACCTGGAAGGTTCTTCCATTCAGGTAGTTTTCCACAAATTTCATCAGTCTTCCACGGAAGCCCAATGTATACATCTTTAGAAGGAGGGCAGGGGTAGACACTAAATTGTAAGCACTTTTAAAATCCAGAAATACTGCCAACGTATATTTGTGGTAGAGGAATCCATGTCGTATCTCTGATTCCAGTCTGATAATGTGGTCGACCGTACATCGTGCTTTCCTGAAGGCACACTGGTATTTCGATAGCACTCCTTTGTTTTCGGTATACCATTTGAGCCTTTCAGCTATCATTCTTTCCATGATTTTACCCATGCATGAGGTAAGTTGAATTGGTCTGTATGACTGAGGGTTGGAAGCCGGCTTCCCAGGTTTCAGGATAGGGACCACGTATGAATGTGACCAGTCTGTCGGAAAAATACCTTCCGTCCAGACTGCGTTAAACATCTTAAGAAGTTCTCCGTATTGAGTATTCCCCATATGTTTAAAAAAAGCGTAATGCAGTCTATCCGGTCCTATAGACGTATTTCCACATCGTTTTATGGCGTTTGTCAGTTCAGGTAAGGTGAATAAGTCATTGTAGCATTCAGCATTGTTAGAACGGAAATCAGGCATAGTTCTAATAATGTCATCAACTCGTGTACGAAAATGTTCTGAGTAGTTCTCCTGCGAGGAGATGCTTTCAAAGTATCGTCCAAGTGTATTCCCAACTTCAAAAGTATCATCGATAATACGTCCATCTATACTGAGTACGGGTAAAGGTCTGTTGTATCTCGTTTTCCTTGTGAATTTCCTCAGTATCTCCCACAACCTGGGTAAGGGGGTCTGGTAATTGAAGAGGCTAAGGAGTTTAAGCCAGGAGTCTTTCTTGGCCTGCCTAATAACCTGTCTGGCTTTGGCCTTTGCTCTTTTATATTCAAGTAATAGTCCTGGGACCTCTCTATTTCTCCTAAATCGGTTTAATAGCCTTTTCCGTTCTGTAATCGCTTTCTTGCACTCATCTGTCCACCAAGGACAGCAGTACTTTGCATGTCCAGTTTTCTTAGGTATTGTCTCTGTTGCTGCTGAGACAATAAGGTCTGTCATAACTTTGCAGTTTTCTACTCCCAGTTGATCATCATAGTTGAGTGTACACTTTTCTCTAAATTCATTCCAGTTTGCTTTATTTAAGTTCCATCCATAAAAAATGTCTGAGTCCTGTGAAGGGTCAACAACATTATTCAGTGTTATATAAATTGGGAAATGGTCACTGTCATGAGGATCATCTTCAGTCATCCACATTGCGTGGGGGGCGACTGATCCTGAAGATACTGTCAGATCGATATGGGAGTACAGCCCAGTGTAATCATCAATTCTAGTAGCACTACCATCATTGAGAACATTGAGTCCAAAAGTTCTGATCAAACGTTCCCATATCATTCCCCTTCGGTCACATCGATCCGAACCCCAAAGCATATGACGACTGTTGGCATCCGTACAGATAACCATGGGCTCCGGGAGCTGCTTAATCAGACTTTCCAACTCTTCATATTGTAAAGGTTCAGTGGGGGGTAGGTAAAGAGAACAGATGTGCATGGTTGAGCTGCCCATTCGTATGGAGCAGGCCACAGCTTGTAAGTTGGTGTTCACAGTTATCAGTCTGTGAGGAATCCTGTTAGTAACATATATACACACACCTCCCTGTCTCCTTTCATCATTGCCAAAAACATCATACCTTGTGTAATTCGGCAAGTTAAAATCATATTCATCTGATGGAAGGAAGTGAGTTTCCTGTAAACAGTAAACATCACATGTTTGGGTCATAAGGAAGGGTTTGACAGAAGCCCATTTTCCAATCAATGCTCTACAATTCCATTGCATTATTTTCACCATGGTGTAGTATGTGTTTGCCTCTAGAGTTTAGAGAAGTTTTTTTGTTTTTTGTTTTGTTTTTTTGTTTTTTGTTTTGTTTTTTGTTTTTTGTTTTTTGTTTTGTTTTTTTTTGTTTTGTTTTTTTAAAGAAAAGAAAAACTAACTAGCTACTAGTGAATATACTATTCACTCCAATCAGTTGTCTGATGCCGCTTGTGAAATATCTACCCATGACTGCTTTCTTGTCATGGGTTTGTCCCCTGCTCTTTCATTGGATATGCCTGCTCTCACAAGCGGGGGAGCGGGGGGGATGGTATCTGGACAAGCAGATACCTGTGGTTTGGTTTTGCCTTTTCCTCGTCCTAAACCCTTTTGCCTTTGTACAGTCTGCCATTTGGCAGCATCTTTGGTCTTTTTCACTGTGTCTATTGTCTGTGTCAAGTCACATGTCTGAATCATTTCGTCTCCCTCATCTCTTTCCATGGGTTGCGTAATTTCATGAGTTTTCCTCGTATCATTCACCTCCCCTTCATCACTGTCTGTTGTAGCATCTCCCATTGTCTCATCACCTCTCGATCTCTGTAATACATCCCTCTGGGTTTCCTTTACACGTACTGTGTCTGTTGTACTAGCAGCACCTTTAGAGGTACTTTCTGTGATCTGCGACTCAGTCAGTTTTTTGAGCAATGTCATCATCTCATCTACCTTCTTCTCTAGCTTTTCTACCTTTCCTTTCAACTCCTCATCCTCCTGCCTTCCAGTAATATGTGGAGTGCGCACAGTGGCAGCATAATTTCTGAGAACAGGGGGCTCATGGCGGTCATCATACAGTTTCCTGGCTTGGCTGAAAGATACCTCCTCTTCCACTTTGATCCTACATATTTCTTTCTCTTTCTGCCATGTTTCACAGTCATGAGATTGACACCCATGATCAGTGCGTCGGCAGTTGATGCACTGGGGCGTGCATTCTCCCTCATGAGGCATTTGTCCACAGTTTAGACATACCTTGTCTTTAGTGCATCGCTCCTGAGCATGCCCAAATTTGCCGCACCGGTAGCACAGCAGGGGGTTTGGTATATACGTGTGCACGTGGTATGTCACATAGTCCATTTGCAGTTTTGTTGGGCAGGATGGTCTGTCAAAGGTAAGTAGCAGGGTTGGGGTCCCTTGTGTTTGTCCATTCACTTTCCTGGTGAAGCGCTTTGCTCCAACAACCCCAAAGTCCTTTAGCCACTGGACCACCTCGTCCTCGCTAAGTTCTTCTAAGTCATATGCACGAATAGTGCCCCGTGATGTGTTCAGCCTTTCATCTTTCAATACTTCACAGTCCTCATTTGCAAATTTCCTAACTTTCAGAAACTTTTCAGTTTGGAGAGCATGTTTCGTTTTGACGAGCAAAGATCCATCAGTCAAAAAACTAGCCTTTTCCAACTTGTCAACATCCCCCAGGACACCTCTAACACCTAACTGCACCCATGGCCAGCCTCTGGATTTAAGTGTTTTCCCCGAGAGGAGTTTGATTTTGAGGTACGACCCGGAGTTTTCATTGTTTCCTTGATCGAAAAAAGATTCATCAGCCCTCACCCGTTTACCGGGCCTTCCCGGCTTCATTTTACATACCGTTGTGCACTGGGATTTTATAAATGATGAACGAATTGAAATTAAACAAAACTGAAACCAAAAACTTAAAGATCCAAGATGTCTTCCACCGCCACGTCACCACTAGAAAGTCAATCAGCTGTTCTTGCCACGTCCTCCCCGCAAGAAATCTGAAGCAAGAGTGAGTTCTCCCAACGAATGTTGTCTAAAGTTACACATTTGTCTTTTCTGCGCAGCATTTGTGTTTGCCATTTACCGCACCAATGTTCGCCAGCGGTGGTGACTTTTCCTTACCTGCTCACGAAACGTCACACACGACATGACGTCACCCGAAGACGTCATCAAAAAGTCCAGCTCTTAGGCGTGTCCCGTGTGTGGGTTCGCTGGAAAATCTGAAAAATATTAAGATAATACGAACTTGAAATTATCGGATTTGAATGATGAAAGAATCTTCTAAAAAGGTCAGTTATACGACGTCTATTTTCCTTACTTGTTACCATAAATCCTTTGATCGTTTTTGTCCAATAAGTCCATAGGTACTCCATAGTGTGCCTCTTTTCACTCAGTGGTATTTTCGAATTGAAATCAACTCCTGTTTGTTTAAAACCATGTTTTAAAATAAAGCACGGGTTGTTAATGGCATGCTGATTCTGGTGGCTACTCAGTCACATTAATCAGTGCGACTCGGACTGTGCGTCACTGTGCAATTACTGTCATAGGAAATATGCCACTTTTAGCATGGAGTTTTGAACTGGAAAAGCAATTCTGTAGCTTGAGCTGAGACAAGCACATATCAATATCAGGTCTCAGGAGCTTTTATGCCCCAACAATTGCCCTAGACAAAGATGTTTCATTTCTTGTTCTGAAAAGAGTGCCTTGTAGGGGAATGTGGTGCCTTGTTGTTGTAGAGGAATGTGGTGACTTCTAGAAGAATGCCATGAAAGCAGCCACATGTCACAGAGGCTAAGCTAAGACAATCAGCATGAAGTTGCTTTTGAATTAGGCAGTATGGCTAACGCGTAATAAGCTTCTGCGCTATTTAGCTTCTACCATAGATGAACTATAGTTTTTCCTATGATTATTTTTTTTTTATAAATATTAATGATGTTCTTTTCCAATCATTTGGAGCATAAAAAGCCATTAAACTGCTGCAAAAACTAAATTGGGTGATCTTTATGACTTTTGCCTATCAATACACGCATTTTCTATAGTCAGAATCTACTTCTCCATATGCAAATAATAACTTTTCCCCTTATTTGGGGAAAGAGGTATATTTCCTTTAATTGCAAAGTTATTAGAATAAAATGGATGTTTTTTTCTGTTGAGGTACCTAAGAGAAGTTGGAACTTTCATGAATATTTAACAGTAAGCATATTTACCTAATTAGGTTCTGAATGCCCCCCTTTTTTGGATCTTCCAATGCATGCTTAAATATTTTTACACCTGACCTATGTAGGTTTGGATCATGTAAGCATCTGCCTGGGAGTATTGGAATGGCGAAGAAATTTGTTATTATTTAATGATATGCTTTACCTGATTTTCACAGATGACATATATCCAGAATGGCAAGAAAATTACTTGGCTGGAGGAAGATCCATCTCCTCCCGCCAAAGTTACAAGAATTTCCAAAACATATTACAGGTAATGTTTCATTCAGTTATAGCTTCTTGTCCTTATCATGTGATACTCTTTATCGTTAAAAGCAACTAGATTGTACTTATTAGTACAGACCTTAAACCCTCGCCCATGTAGGGGGGGGGGGGGGGTTGGTGCAACCCCCCCCCCTGAGGTTTTTCGGAAATAGTGCAAAAACGGCGGCGCGCAGCGCCGCCAAATTTTGGGTACCTTATGGGGCAAACCTTGCGCATCTTTTGATAAAAAAAATTTGACCGGATCATGTCAGGTCACGGAGTTATGACGTCACAAAGGGAACAGCCTCCGGCCGGATTTTCACAAACTGAGTGCCAACGCCCGAGGTTTCCTGCCGGTGGTACGGACATCGGTTGATGGATCGTGATGAAACTTCCCATGCATGTTGGTGCAAGTATTGGCTATCATATGGTATAAGAAACTTGACCGGGTCAGGTCAGGTCACGGAGCTATGACGTCACAAGAGGAACAGCGTCCGGTACTATTTTTGAAAAGCGCCCGAACTACTATTTTGCTAATTCTTGTCACCTCAATGGGAATATGCAGCAATATTAGCTTCTATAGGGAGCAAATGGACCTCCCAAATCCAAAAATACAATCAGATTTCAAAAATTTAAATTTTGATTTTTCGAATTTCTGCCGCCGACTGTGACCTTGCCGACTTCCGGCGCTCCCAACGCGCCATTTTTAGAGCTAGGGAAACGAAATACATACCAAACGATAGAGAATTGATCAAGGAACACGATAGTGAAGGTTTCAAGTCGATATCTCCCACCGTTTTGCCGCAATCGCCGCGGAAAGTTGAAAAAGTCTATTTTTCCGAAAATTTGACCTTTGACCGGTCAAAAGTAGGTCAAATGTTGATCTAGGACCAAAAAATATACCACCAATCGCGAGATCTCGGCGAGAGCAATCCGTTGGTCTTTTCCGCTAAGCTCTACGACGCTCCGTTTTCAAACGCCAAGGGGGGGTCGCACCAACCCCCCCCCCCCCCCCTGCATGGGCGAAGGTGGCAGATCGCCGTTTACGGGCGAGGGTTAAGTAAGTAAACATCCACTTTTCTGCTCTTCTTTCTTTAAAAAGAAAAAATACTTTTAACAACTTTTACTGCAAATGTGGAGGTAATGCTGGTTGCTGGTCAGAGCCGCATCTTTTTATATTTGCTTGAGTCTGGAGTGTTTATGCCCATGCTGCCCATGGTCCTTTTTCAGATCCTGTAAATTTGGGAATCTGCGCCTGGCAGTTGGCGACTTTGTCTTGATAGCTGACTTATCAGCTGGAGATGAAGACCATGTGGATGGCTGTGAAATAGCTGAAATCACCCATATGTATGACACAGGTGAGAAGTTTCTTCATACCTGTAGAAACTTCATGTAGAAACCTGGTTTGCACATTTTGAATGAACTGATAAGTGATAAGTGAAATCGGGGTCCTTTGAGTTTATTGCACAGGTCCTCTGCTCTACCGTCCCATTGGGAAATTCTGGGTTGTCTAGAGACTTCAAACTGATATAAAGCATTCCCAATATTGTACGCACATTAAATGTAATCACATACCTGTTCCATGACAATGCATGTAAACAATAAATCTATGACTGTTTGTCGTTTCACACCACTTCAGATCCACTCACTCTTCAGCCATCAGTCACCCCTGTTATGGATCACCGAAGCCGCAACCTCTGCCTCACCCCCACATCACCGCTCGCAGGCGACCCGGACGAGAAGGACCCGTGCTGGCTGACTGTGCGGTGGTTCACGCGCTGGGACCTTCTGCCGCCGACGGTGCGCAAGAAGCTGCCGGTCGGCCTGCCACAGCCGCACCCGACCCGGGAGGTGGTACTGGATGGGCGGCCGTTCAGTCCAGAGGTGCTCATCAGCACTGTCTGGGACAAGTGTGAGGTGAGTGTGGAGCTGTCAGCTGTTCTGCAAAGAGTCAGTGTGGTAGGAATGATTGTTGGGCATTGGCAAGATCGGTCGGAATCGATGTCGCGCTTTTTTGTTAACAGATCCTCTTACTGCAGATGGCTTGTAGTGTAACAACGCTTTTAGCATTTGCATTGCTAAAAACCAGTGTTTGTGTCCCATAGTCGATGCATCACAAAAGTGGTGACACACGTGCCCAGCGTCTTTACGAGGCTAACATTGCGCTCAGCCGGCCCACCTCTACTGACCGTCCCTGTCCCCATCAGGTGCGCGTGCTGCAGCCATACGAGGACCCAGCGGTCGAGCGGAGCACCCGCGGCACCCTAGAGCTGTTCGTCACCCGGTTCCAGCTGCAGACCAAGCCGCTGAAGCTGGTATCTATCAGCGGTCTGGACTTAGGTTTTGAGGATGATGGGAAGAGAAAGAGAACAAAAACACCTCAGAAGACTGGTGGGAGGTCGAGGCAGGGTAGCGAGACTCCCGAAAGACGGGAGAAAACAGGCGATGAACCCCGCGGGAGGCGAAAGAGGGAAGGAAGTGAAACTCCGGGAAGACAGAAGAGAGCGGGCAGTAAAACCCCGGAAAGACGGAGAAGGGAAAGAAGTGAAACTCCTGGTAGACGCAGGAGGGAGACAAGTGAAACCCCCAGAAGGCGAAAGAGGGAGGGAAGTGAAACTCCTGGAAGACAGAAGAAGGCAGGCAGTGAAACCCCAGGAAAACGGACGAGGGAAAGAAGTGAGACTCCCGGGAGACAAACAAGGGAGGGAAGTAAAACCCCCGGTAAACAGAAGAAAACAGGCGGCGAGACCCCGGCAAAACAGAAGAGAGCGAGCAGTGAAACTCCAGGGAAACAGAAGACAGCGGGCAGCGAGGCTCCCGGTGAAACGCCCACTGCTGAACGAAGGACACGATCGACGGGAAAGGAGAATAGTGAGTCAGGGTTAATTGCGTTTGAGAGCAGGTGCTTTGGTATAAACGTCAGCTTTGTCGAGTGGGGATCGTGTGGGTTGGGTTGTAAAAAAAAAAACGTTTTCTAACTTATTTGTGGTATGCTGGGACAAATTGCGAATTGCTTTGGTGGATTGCCGAATGCATTCCACATGGAGACTAGGTATATAGTCTAAGGGTTCATTACTCTTTGACACTCAGCAGATGCTAGCATTTTTGGTGGCTGTTAGCATGTGTAAGCATTTGTAGTAATTCCGCTGTTTGCTGACAGATGCGCCAACCACGCCGTCGCAGCAGCCGCCTTCCAAAGAGGGCCTGTCCCGTTCGGGCCGGCGTCGTAAGGAGCGCAGCTACCGTGACCTCGTGGAGGGCAAGGTGGGTGACCGTGGCGGGCTCTGTGCCGGTCAGGGTGAGGCGGGTGTGCGGGGCTTCAAAGCCGAGGTTTAAGACAACAGTGGCAATGGAGATAGGCATTGTAGCTATGCAAGAGCTTAGGATCGCTTAGCGCGGTCTTTATAGTGCCTATGAAGGGTTATGATGAGCTACTACTAATTCGTTTTACGATTAAAGATGTATGGGTAAGCGTCCTTCGTTTAGTTTATTTGTTTGATGCATTAGTTTTCTCAGGCTATAGGGGAGAGTGGGGCAAAGCGGCCACCCGGGGCAAAGCGGCCATCCATCGTTTTAGCCCTCCACAGCTGGCGTCAGTTCCAATTTATGATTTCCAATTATACTTCTCTTTGCGGTCGTTCGAATGAGCCAGACCGGGGTTTCAGGCCCATCGCCATTGTTCTGTGAAACACGGAAAAGCATTTCTTGCCAGGTTACCAATTATGTTTACAATTTTTAAATGTTATTTTATTCCATAACCGTTTGGAATTTTTATAAGCGTTTTTGTCCATGCATTGCGTGGTTATCGTACATGCCTTCTACCAATTTTAATGCTTTTTACCCCACTAATAGCTGAGCTGGAATATTTTTGTCTCGGACGGTATGCGCGGGGCAAAGCGGCCGGGGCAAAGTGGCCAGCCCCCAATTGGCCATAAGTTGTTTCCATCTGGATAAAAACATTATTTATATTCAAATGTGTCGTCATGCATTCATCTTGGCCACTTTTCGGTTACATGAGTTACCAAATTATGCAATTAAATGTTTTTCCAAGAAAATTATTTCTTTGTTTAGCAATAGGTGGGAAGATAACAAAGTAAACATCCATCTTCCCTTAAACCTTGTCACCATCAAATACCCTAGTCGTGCATGAGGCAACTATTCTGTTTCTCATATCGGGACTTGAGAAGTCGCCAGTGGCCGCTTTGCCTCAGGGATGGGGCAAAGTGGCCAATATGCTATAGGTTTAAAGTTTTGTCAATATCTCCCATATGTGAACGCCTTTGTAAATGAAACGCAGTTGGAATAAAAGACAATTTAATAGGGATCACAATGGTATAGAAAGAATCTTTCCAAGTTTAAAAATCAAGCGTCGGCATCGTTAGGAACGTTAGGGTGGCCGCTTTGCCCCACTCTCCCCTATTAGGGTTTATTGTTGGATCAGACCAGTCCCCGGTGAACGTTTCAGGCCCCCGGTATCACTGCTGGCGCGGGCTCTGTCCTGTCCTCGTCCTCGCCTTCCGTTCGCCTCAGTCGGGCGTCCTGTCCTTCCGGAGTGTCCTATCGCACCAGGTCCTCTCGAGCGTCCTCACAGGCCGCAACGGTAAGGGCTCTTTTTCTTACCTTACGATCCACTTTTGTATAATCGCTCGTATCCTGTTTATGTTTCTACAAAGTTCATCCAAATCTTCAGCACATTAAATAGGCACTCCTACTGTGTTACAGGAGATGCTTATCTTTGATCTGTCTCCGGCACAGGTATGACTCGCTTTTGTTTTTCAGACGAGCTGGGAGGATGAAGATGACATCACCATAAGCTACACGTCACCTAACAAAATGGTCATGAAAATGAGTCGACTCACCGACAGCAAAATTCGACAGATGCTCTTGGAAGATGATGATGTAAGTACATATTATTAAAAGAGTGAATGGACTAAAAAGTTTACAAACTGACAAGTGGGTGATATAGTGGCTGGACAGGTATTTGACCTGATATTACTTCTGGTAGGTACTCACTAATCAGTCTGGTGCAGTTGGTTATGTGCTGGTGTGAGATAAAACGTTAATTTCTACTATGACTGATCCACAGAGTGATTCGTCTCTCCCGGATAGCGGTCGAAGCACGCCTGTCCCCGTCAAAAAGAAAACGCCACGTGCGTCCAGAGAAACCACCCCGGCGCGCGGCTTGAAGCGGACAGCATCTCAGTCTAAGACAGACAGTCCCGCACGAGCCAAACCTGAACCGTCCCGTTCCCGGGGTGCCACGCCCGTGAAGCGGGACGCGTCCCGTGCCAGCACTCCGTCAAAGCCTGAACCGTCCCGTTCGCGGGGTGCCACGCCTGTGAAGCGGGACGCGTCCCGTGCCAGCACTCCGTCCTCTGGCGGCGCGCGGTCGGCGGGCCGGGGCACACCTCGCTCGGCGGGACGGGACTCGGCGTCTCCGACGGCCGGCCGCAGCACGCCGCGATCGGCGCGTCGCTCGCTCTGCCGCCAACCGAGTCTGGCTACGGTGACCGAGGAGCGATCCCCCGGCGCCGCCAGCGCCCGCCCCAGCGACCCGCCGCCGGCGCGGCGCCTGTTCGCCGCGGACGCCGGCGGCGCCAAGAGACGCCGTCTGTCGTTGGCCGTGGACTCAGAGGACGAGGAGGAGGAAGAGGAGGTCGCTCCGCGCCGCGGTGGAGGACGTCGCCGCGCCGCCAGTGCCCGGCGCACCGAGGAACTCCCGGAGGAGGGTTCCCCGGAGGAGGAGGGGACGCCCGTCAAACGGCGAATGGGCCGTGCGGCCGCGTCCCCGGCGACACCGTCCCGCGGCCGGGGCAGGGGGCGCGGCGGGCGGTCCGTCACGGCCTCCCCCAGGACCCCGAAGGTGAGCTGTCAGTGCCATCGGACTTCCTGCCTTCCTCCTGTGCTTATCTCGGAATTTAGAAAAATATACACACGCTTTTGGGGTACAGAAATGTGTGTGATGTAGCATCAGATATCACTATATTATTGCTTATCATCGTGATTTAACTTGAATATTTCCGAGACCCAAGATACCAATATGGTTACATTTTTACATCCGCTTACTTATCAATCTTCGCTCTTCATTCTTTTCGCTGCTGCACTGACCGCCAAGTGATTGTGATTTGTGGCCCACCCAGCTATATGCCTGTCGCTCCCCTGTCAGGTTGGCGGCACACCTCTGGTACCCGGCCGGTCGGCCGGCTGTCTGGATACACCCGGTACACCGCTGGAGCGGGCCCGCAGTCGACTGCACGTGGCTGCGGTACCCGAGGCGCTGCCCTGCCGGGAGAATGAGTTCCTCGACATCTACACCTTCGTGGAGGCCCGACTACTGGATGGTACTGGCGGGTGAGCTCAGTTTGGCTGACAATGGGGAGGACAACGTGGTGGGCGAGGCAATAGTTGAGCGAGTGGGTTAGTGATAGCTATATCAATGATCGAATTTATTGATCTAATCGAAAGGATGATATGCGGTACTACTTTACAGTGGTGCTCCAGTTGTCTTGACTTGTGTGAACTTGAAACTTGAAAGTATGGTGGTAATTAGCGAGGAACATTTTTGTATAGTCATCCATTTCTTTTATATTGATCGGTTGGTAACTGGCTTATACATTGTTTCATACGTCATTGCACTTCTACACTACGTCATTTCTTGCCAGGTGCATGTACGTGAGCGGCGTGCCGGGCACGGGGAAGACGGCTACCATGAGGGAGGTGGTGCGCAGTCTACAGGAAGCAGTCCAGACCGGCGACCTGCCCGCCTTCCAGGTAGACAAACGCGGCGCTACAGTGGATTCGGGGAAGTCGGGGAACTAACCGCTGCTATACCATACTTTAAATGCTCGGCTACGAATGCAAGTTAAAAAGCGGCAACTTTATGAATCACTGATTTTACGGTACATACTGTACTTTGTTATCTTTTTTTCGTACGGCGTAGCTGGTGTATACTTACTTTGGACCATAAAGCCTGCGCATTCTTATAAATGGACTTAGTACTACCCACTTCTTTTAGGAAAATAAGTATAACTCAATTAGCGTCATCGACAACTGACTGTTTTTGCATTGAGTACTTGTCAGTCCCACAACTGGCCGCCTAACACCACCTCTCTCCTCTTCTTCCACCCCAGTTTATCGAGGTGAACGGCATGCGGCTGACGGAGCCGCAGCGCGCCTACTGTCAGATCCTATCCGAACTGACCGGCACCAAGGCCGTACCCGAGCACGCCGCCCAGATGCTCGACAAGCGGTTCTCACAGCCGGCCGGACGACGCCAGCCGCTGCTGCTGATGGTCGACGAGGTGAGGCGAGGGCATGGAAAACAGCGGGTGTTTTGGGGAGAATGATGCTGTAATGCTGATGATTGAAAAGTGGGAGTTTAGCACTTATTGCTAGGCTGCATTTAAGTCGCCCCACGTTTGCGTATTTCATCCCGACATCGCGATCGTACTGATATTCCAATCACACCTTGCGTATGTCATTTTGGCTATCTTTCACGTCCCACGTTTACTGCAAATTCTACCACGTCAGCTGTTAGATCCCTCAGTTCCCCCGCTAATGATGCCTCTAAAAATACTGACCCCGAGCGCGCCGTCACCCTCACTCCGCCCCCCCCCCCCCCCCATGGGTAGCTGGACCTGCTGTGGACGAGGAAGCAGAACGTGCTGTACAACCTGTTCGACTGGCCGAGCCGGCCGCACGCGCGGCTGATCGTCGTCGCTATCGCCAACACGATGGACCTGCCGGAGAGGATCATGATGAACCGCGTCTCCAGTCGACTGGTGAGAGGCGGACCGTGGAGGGGACGGGAGGAGGAGCAGTGATTTGGATTCATTGCTGCAGACAGGTGGTAAAGGAGCACAGTTTTCATTTATCTGTGGTGTCAGCCAACCAATGGTGTCGGCCGTCGTGCGCCCAAAAGCCGAACGTCATTATCATCATGTCTGTTCACAGATTACTATGTGGATACTCGACATTTCTTGTTTATCGAATCTCAGTTAATGTGCATGCATTATCTGGTGACGCTAAATTAGGTGGTTGTGATTGAGATAAGTCACTCCTGTTACCGATCCGGCTGATATTTCTGATCACGTTGTGTGCAACGGTAGTGCCTGGTCCCAGAGAACCCGAACCTTGTATGATCCGCATGACCTCACTGGATCTGCCGATGACCCGTCCCATCTCGCTATGTAATCCGCTCCGACCAATTGGTACCAGTGTTCTAAAATTGGATTTTGGTTGGGTGTGCTGACGAAGAAAGGATGAGAAAAAAGAAAGTAAATAACTGAAGCATTTTTGCTAAATGGTGTACCTAATGCTAATTTTTATGCCAACTAAAACCAGGATTTCATGTCAGGATCTTGACAGGGTGTGAAACAAAAGGATGTGGGTGCATCAACTGTCAAGTGACATGTAAACTGGCTGTTCGAATGCATGAAACCTTTTTCAGAGATGAAGTAAAGTCAGTCATTCATATTTTAGGGATGAAAATATTTTCCCCATCAGGTGTGATTTGCCACTAAAAAGTCTGAAAAATGGAACACTGATTGGTACGTGTCACCTATATGACACCATTTCGTGTATCTGTGTGACCTATCTGACCTCGCCGTCTCTTCCGTCAGGGTCTGACGCGGATGACCTTCCAGCCGTACACGTTCAAACAGCTCCAGGAGATTGTCTCCAGCCGACTGAGCGGTCTGGACGCCTTCGATCCCGACGCCATCCAGCTGGTGGCCAGGTGAGCTGTCAAGGAAGACACGGGGGAGGTGGGAAACAGGGAGCACAGAGAGGGAAGATGTAAGGCTTTGTGGCACATGTCTCGGCGGGCTGCGACGATCGAGCGGTGTTTTAGAGTGAGACTAGGGTGACCCGCGTGCTCCGCAACGCGATAAGGGGTATTTGCGATCGGCGGGTGTTTGGTTGTTCTTGTGTCGGTTGGGTTATCTTTCCATTTCGGTCGATTGCTTTTTGATGGCTAAATGATTTGGTTTGGAAAGAATATCCATCGCATCGAGGTGCCCGTGTCTGATAAGCATGCTTTCTACTTCAGAATCTGTCAAATGTGTTTTATAATTTAGGTGCGTAGTTTTATGACCAATGAGAGGCGTAGATAATTTTCGCTAAAAATGGTTTTGCAGAGGTTTGAAACAATTATATTTTTAAGAATACTGTTGCTGGTCATTCAAACGTGATGATTGGATCTTGAAGAGAATTGAATGCTCTTTCTAATGATAGCATTTTCAATTGCAAATCGCATCGGGTTATGCAGCAAAACCCGTGTAATTATTAAGTGGCACATTTTGGACAAATGCCATTTTCTCCAGCGATTTGTTCCACCTTGTTTTTGATCAATTAACTTTTCACAATTTTTCCAGGAGAAGCGGTACATTTCTTTTGCCAATAGGCATTGTTTTAACTCCCTCAGTCTGACGGTCACGTGAAAATAAAATAAAATTCAAAATTCGTCCGAAACGTCGATCTTTCAAACAGAAGTGCCCTCACATGTGCACGTGGCACGTGCCAACCCCTGCACCGCACACCATTCGATAGCCCGTTCGATTCTCTACACGATGCTGTTTTCCCCGTACCGGTCGGGCCCACGGTTACCGAGATATTGCACCGGGACCGGACCCGTGTCGGGCAAATTTGGCTGTTTTCGCCCGTTTTTGCCAGCCGATTAATACATGTAAAGTCTATGACGCGAATTTGCACTTTTTGGGCACGCGCCACGCGCTCGCTATCGATCCGATCGAGCTGAGACCCATCAAAGGCACGTTGTCCATCCTTGTTCTATGAGTTGCGCAAACTTCAGCGCGGTAGGTGCAACGGTGTGACCTGTAACCCGCGCTACGTAGCACCATGTCGCGACCTTCGTAATAGACAGAAACTACGTCACCACAAATAGTAATATAGACAAGCGGCTGCGCCACTTGCTTCGCGGCGTAGCCAGAAAATGCGGCAGCAGCCAATTTGCTTCCGAATGGTGTTTGATTTAAATTGATCTGTCGTCTGGAAGCAGAGCTGTGGACGGAAACGTGCAGAGGAAAATTTTGAACATAATAATTATTCTGAGGGCTTAGGTGGATGAAATTTGGATCATACGGGGTCAATTCAGGTCAAGCTGGTTATCCCTGGTCACACTGGGTTAGGCCAGGTCACCTTCGGTGAGGCCAGGTCGTATAGGTCACCACGTCACATTGGATCGGCCTATACCACACTTCTACTACTTCTACTCATACCACTACTCCTACCACTACCCCTACCACTACTCCTACCACTATCCCTACCACTACCCCTACCACTACCCCTACCGCTACCCCTACCCCTACCACTACCCCAACCCCTACCCCTACCCCTACCACAACCCCTACCACTACCTCTACCACTACCCCTAACACTACCCCTACCACTACCCCTACCCTACCACTACCTCTACCACTACCCCTAACACTACCCCTACCACTACCCCTACCACTACTACTACCCCTACTACTACCCATACCACTACTACTACCCCTACCACTACTACTACTACCCCTACCAATACCCTACTACTACCCCTACTACTACCCCTACCACTACCCCTACCACTACCCCTACCACTACCCCTACCACTACCCCTACCCTACAACTACCACTACCCCTACTAATACCCATACTACTACCACTACCCCTACCACTACCCCTACCAATACTACTACCACTACCACTACCACAACACCTACACCTACCACTACCACTGGGTCATGTGAGGTCACAAACTATCAGATTAACTGATTAACTAAAAAAGAGTTCCTAACCCTTCTCCTACTCGTGTCATTCCATTATTCTTAATCGTATTTGGTTGAAATGGCGCCTAGTGACAAATGTGGCGCATTGCGACAAAAGTGGTGCATTTATTCCTGTCGTTTTGCCATGCATCCTTCCACCGAATTGCACCTTTATCGGACCATATTTGACAAAGTTTTGCGATTTGCGGCAAAAATAGCGCATGTGGACAAATGTGGCGCACTGCGGCAAACGCGGTGCATTCGGTTAAGCGCATTGAAAACTGTCTTTATTTACCGAAAATCGACACCTTCATTCGCCTCTGTTTATCAAAATAAATAACTTGGCCAATCTGCAAATGAGAGGCACCCGCCGCCGATCGTCATGCATTTTATTGTCAAAGGCGATTGAACCCGGCTGCCGATGCCTTGAAGCAAGCTTGAGAGCCGAGCAAAATTTGGAGAAAAAACACCTTTTTCCAGCGCGTGCCACGTGCGACCCATCCACCCCCCGGGACTCGAACCTCGACACTGCACGTGCGCGTGACGTCATCAACACCCTGCGAAAATTTCAGCCCCATCGACCGCACCGTTTGACCTGTGCACGGCGTCAAAGCACCCCTCTGCACGGTGCAAACAGACAGAAACACATACCTACAGACAGAGTTTCATTTCACAAATAGTATAGTAGATACGCAGAATTCAGTAATGTCTCCATCATGTTATTAAACTCCTTGCGTTACATTTGCTGACGGATGAGGTTGATGTTGACCGACACGGTCTGCACTCCGTGACTTCAGGAAGGTGGCTGCCGTGTCTGGTGACGCCCGCCGCGCGCTCGACATCTGTCGGCGGGCTACCGAACTAGCGGAGCGCGGTCCGGCCGCTGAGCGGCGCCACATGTCACCCAGGAAGGCCAAGACCTCGGCGCTGGTGGCTATGGAGCACGTCAACGCCGCCATCCAGGAGATGTTCGCCTCGCCAAAAATTGTCGCCATTCGGTGAGTATTGAGAAGCTACCAGAACCATGTATGAGGAATGGTGCAGAGCATTGCCGAGCGAAATGTGCCGTGAAGTGCGGGTTCGGTTGCAATTAGATGCCCGTCAGATATAAAGGTGTTTCTCCTCCGTTCCGTCGTTTCCATCCTCAGGATACTGAAATCCTTCTCCACGCCGCAACCCCCATTCCGAGCTGGACCGGCACCTTTATCTCATGCGGGCTGCTCCATTGGAGCGACACCGCTGCAGCTCCCGAGGGAGCACACCCCGTAGCTGGGTGCAGTGAGTGCCTTGGGGCTGGGTGGCCTGTCCATTCGGACGGGCTCAGCCCCGGTGACTCTGTAGGGTGTCTGCCCAGACCAATGTCTCCCCCAAATCCTATCATCCTCCTGGCTCTGAAATGATCTTGTCAGACCGAAAGGGCCTAACAAAAAAAAAAAAAATGATGCTGCTTCTATCTGATTATTCGGGATCGGGAATGGTGTCCAATGGGTGAAGTTGTTGCTTTCTAATCCAGCCCCTTTAGCAAACAAGCGGGATATTATCTGGCTAGTCATATTCGAGATTATTTGATCGAGTCCATTTGAGCGACCTTGAAAATGTTCGCAACCTGTCTGACTGCTGTTACAAAACGGTTTATTGGACCTTTGTTTACATCCAAGCATCAATGTTTTTGTACCATAGAAGTTCACAGTAGCCCCTAACTATTTGCGGAGCAGTAGAAGCAGTATGCGAGAAAAAAACTGCAGATGCACGCCACTACCGTCCTCACCCGGTCACTGTGACATAGCGTCACCATTTTCTGCTGCATTGATAACGGAGCTGGAAACGTGCCCGATGTGTCCAGTCAAAGGAATTACCTACTTTATAGCAACGGTGAAAAATAGAGCCGACATTTGGGTAAATCAGTACATAGGTACTTAATTATTCCTGTAAATGATCTAGTCTGGGAAGCTATCATTAGCTTGTTTACTTGGACAAGCCTTTGCGGTGATTTGCTGTTACTGCGCGGGTCCTGCCTCACATCCATTGGATGGTTATTTCCGTATCGTTCCTTGTGTCGCCATGCCGGTCCTGCACGCGCGAGGTGCGTGCTCCGTCCCTGTCGTGGTGGACAGTGAACACGTCACGTGCCCACACCGTGTTTTCCCGCCCTGAGACTTGTATTTCTGACCTTAGCATTTCCAACAAATGGCCGCCCTTTGTTTTTGCGTGTTGGAAAACCGCGTGACTTGACCCATTTTCTGTATTCAACATTACTGAAGGTTTTTAAAACGGATGCCCGATCTAGCTTATTACTTGTTTTGCACCGTGGCATGACATTCAGTTTCGTTGTTTCATTTTGTTACGACCGAGCGAAGCGAAGTCTTTTCAATATAGCGGAAACAAAATGCAGTATGAGCGGCCCGGCCCGGGTTGTAACGCTTTTGAGAGGCTCAAGGCCGGGCTCCACTACGCGTTTTTTTACGCGCGTTTTATCCGAGACATCGGTTTTTGCGTGAAATCGGTTTTGCAATTTGTCGGTTTCTGCGTGATATCGTTTTTTGCTTGTCATCCTGAAGCACGTGACATTGTTGTCATTAAACCCAGGCTCCACTACGCGGAAAATCACACTTTGTTTATTTTGAGCCTATAAAGAAGGTGTTTTGCAAGTAGGTACATTTAATAAAAAACTTTTATAAAATTTGTCTGAAGGGTTGAGTAGGTGGCTTTGAGCCGAGTGTCTCTGTTTCAGGTCGTGTCCGGCTGAGGCGCGCTCCCTGCTGCAGGCTGTGGTGTCCGAGTTTTAGTCCCTCTGTCTCTGTTTCAGTTCCTCTGTCTCTGTTTCAGGTCGTGTCCGGCACAGGCGCGCTCCCTGCTGCAGGCTGTGGTGTCCGAGTTTCAGCGCACCGGCTTGGAGGAGGCCCGGCTGGGTCGTGTATATGAACAGATGGCTGCCGCCTGCCGGTTCGAAGGTACGCTCGTACAGGGCTGGGCGGGAGCGAGGCGTCTTTTAGGAATTTGATAGAGTACCTTATGCAATGTACTTGAGCATTATCAGATACGTGCACTACATTCCAAAGAAGTTCATGATTTTGTGATGACAGAGAGATATGTTCGAGGAACGTGCTGCAACATCCACAGTGATGAGCAGCGCTTACCCATTTTGTTATACACCCAGCTTGTTTCAGTTTATTCGGTGCGAGTGTAACCATATGTTCGCTTCAGCCATATGACCTCATCAGCCTAATGAAGGGAATCAGTCTAAGTGTAAAGGAACAAGTGAAGCGGATAATTTCGGCTTAAAAAGCTTAATCATAAATGCATCTAAAAGTTGTCGACGTAAAAACTTGCACCAAGCGTAGCTTCAACTACGTCTACCGTGTATATGTGACGCACGCATACTAAAGTTCCCGCTCCCCATTTCTATCGTCCTGGTGAATGACTAGAACGTCTGTGCGCTGTCGATCGACTGCGCTTTGATATGCAGTCGCTGGTGGTAACTACGCCGGCTGAGGTGATTTGGGAGTCTCATGACCGAAAATAACCGGTCACGTGCCAGCACCGTGACTGCGGCGTGCTAGGACACGGTCTTTAGGGTTGCACTTTATGCCTGAACCGATTATAATGAGACTGCCTTGCACGTGCCTCTGTCGCGACAAAAAGGCCACTTTAATATTTATGTGGCATGCAATATTGTGAAATGGGGCATGGCCGCGTGGGAGCGTAATTGCACGAATGTTATAAACGAAAGAGTGAATAGAGCAACGTCGCATTTAAGTGCTTATCCTTAATGTCTTTGAACACTTGGGTGTTTGTAATGAATAATGAGTTATATCCGGAATTAAAACAGTAGGTACTTTAGCATTGGTTATACACTCGTTAGTGAAAACTCAGCAGTAGCGTGTGAATAAGATGAGCCTTTACATCCTCAGCAGCGCTTGTAGCGCATAAACCTGGATATGTCCCTGCACCATTTTCATAATGTCTTAGGTTTTTTAATCGTTAGCTTTACATTGTTGCTTACATGCAGATAACGCATAACCATCAAACATCCATGCATTGGCTATTAATGGAGTCGGTTGACACACGCTGCTTTCTTTACATTTAATGATCCCCATAGTGATAATCAGTGACATTCGATTAGTTAGTTTGATGCATAGCAGATTTAACGTCGTTTTGCTGTAGGTCTTGTCGATAAGAACTTCTACACGGCAGACTCTAAGGTCATGCGTCAACCTTTGCGTGTGCGCTGTTGCAGCCATTTTTTTGTGTCCTTGTGCGATGTGAATTGTAATGACAACCGTCTGTTCTGTCTTTCGTTCTGGACAGAGTGCATACTTAGCGTATCCCTGGGAAACTGTTGCTACCTCGCAAGAAACCTTTCAACCAATGTCACCGATTCAGCATTCCCGGTTGCGCCCCTGTAACGCTTTTACTTTTTCAGAAGCCCCCGTTAAAGCCTTTGTCGTATGTGACACTTCCTCACCCCCACAGGCCACAACGCTATGTACTTTGCTGTCTGTTGCACTCTTGCAGTCCTGGCGCAGGTCCAGTCCTCTGCGTTCTTCCGCCGCTGACCGTTGTCGCCCTGTGTTCGTCTCTGACCGCTGTCCATTGCTGTGCCCCCCTGCATTGATCGGTGTTGTTCTACCTGACCAAGCCCCTGTCCCTGCCGCTGACCGTTGTGCTGTGTGTCCGTCTCTGACCGCTCTCCTCCCCTGTGCCCCTGCCTGACCAGTGCCCTGCCCTCGCAGCTGACCGATGCCGCCGTGTATGACCAATGTTTCCGTCCCCCAGAACGGACCTATGTCGTTCTGTCCGACTAATGTCGCTGTCCCCGCCTCAGACCGGTGCCCCACCTCGTCTTCCCTCGCCACTGACAGGTCCCTCTCTCCGTCAGGCGTCTCGCCTCCCACTCTCTCCGAGGTGTTCGCTCTGGTCAGTCAGCTGACTGCGGTCCGTCTGCTGCACGCCCAACACGCCAGACATGACCTCGAGACCCGGCTGAGGCTCAACATCAGCGTGGACGACGTGTCGTACGCGGTGCAGGAGATGCCCGACCTGTGACCGGTCAGAGGGGGGACTGTTCGATCTGTGACCGGTCAGAGGGTGACTGTGGGCCGACCTGTGACCGGTCAGAGGGTGACGTTGGTCCGACCTGTGACCGGTCAGAGGGTGACTGTGGGCCGACCTGTGACCGGTCAGAGGGGGATCAGGGGTGGCGTCTGACCTGTGACCGGTCAGAGGGGGACAGTGGGCTCCGACCTGTGACCGGTCAGAGGGTGACGGCTCTGACCTGTGACCGGTCAGAGGGTGACTGTGGGCCGACCTGTGACCGGTCAGGAGGTGGCTGTGGGCTCCGACCTGTGATCAGTCATGGTGACATGTCAGTCATGAGTGACACCATGGGATGGTGTTCGAAAGTGATTGTTGAGGATATTCCTTGCCGGTGACCGGCCGGCCGGCGGTTAAACATGCTAAATTCGGAATTTATTATCATGTGCTCAGAAATCGTGAAATGATCATATGCATTCATAAAAACTCTGAAAATGCTATAGATACAGCAAAACACACGGCCAATCTGGCCTGCAGGCTGCATAGCTGGTATAGAAAAGTTTAGTGATGAAAAACAAAAATGAATTTAAGGCAAGTTCATTATGTAATGGGCCTCAGGCCTTCAGTCTGCAACAAGCTACAAAATGGCTTACCCTGGAATATTTTGTTCATCCCTTGGCCGAAATCCCTTTCATGTTCCCTGCCGTTGACAAGACACAATCGCGAGTAATGAATAAGTAACGGAAGCAGGACTTAATCTCGAGTGACGGCTAAATATCCTACATTTGATTGAAGGTTGAGTCGTGACTCGCACTATTAATGGGTGACGTCATCAAAAGTTCAGCTTATTTCTCTTGCACAAGTTATCTCTTTTAACAGCTGATTACATTAAAAAGTAAACAAGTACGAGACGAAGCGGGAGTGCCGGTACCGAAGGGATGGTGGAATTGATGTTGGCTAGTGATTTCCAAGTGGCTGTAACCTCATTTATTCCTGCTGAATTAGCAGACATTCGTGAACCGCGCATTCGGCGTTAGGTGCTCATTTTCGGATATCCCTGGTCATTCCGCCTCGGTTTTGTGGGGAATGGTAATTTATAACATGGATCATTTTTTTTTTCGGAGTGGTGCTGGTGGTGTTATTCCTCTATGCTGGTGGTGTTATTCCTCTTTGCGGCTGATCATAAAGGCTGCTGCATTCCGTCTAGCGTGCTTCGCCGATTGTCCTGCCGGTGACGTGACCTTTATAGCCGGCGCTCATGTCATTTGATTGGCATGCCTGGTTACTGTGGGAGGCTCGCTGGCTGATTTCAAGGGTAGCAGTGGTGATGTGTTCTTTTGTGTTCTTAGATTCTGTTTTTGTTGTGTGGCATTTGGTTGAATGACTGCATGTCTTGTGAATTGTACAGACGAAAAGGCTACATGTCTAAACAAGGCCATCCTTCCGATATTGGTGGTTCATTTAATTATGAGTTGGTTTTGCCATGCGCTGACATCGGTCATGCATTTTTTTATACTGCGTTTGGCTCTTACTGTTAATTTAGACGTCTTTAACTTCTTAGTGCCATCCCTGAGCAAGTTTTCCTCACTTATTTTAGGCTTAGATTTGCAGTAAAAGTTAAACAGACAGCAGTTGATCCACTTTGGGTGTGACCGTTGGTACAAAACACAGTGATAGCATTGGTCTTCGATTTTCACACCTGACGTGCCTTAGCCGATTTCGATTAAACAGCATACCCTGGTAGGAGCGTTTTCAAATCGCTCGGTGCAGTTGCGTTGTCGATTAGCTGCTCGGACGTGCTACCGAGTTCGTTCAGGGACGGAGTGTCTTCCTGCCGTCGTCTGCTCGTTGTTACTCTCCTATCTTGTACAATTGTTCTCCGATGTGGCCCTCGGCGTACCGTGTGCGGACCGGGTGGGTCTCGATTGGCCTAGCTCGCCCGTTCCAGGTCGAGTTGGTCTTGGACAGGTCAGGGGTTTGTTGCCATTTGTATACTGCCGCGTGTGTATTTTTGTACTGTTTGTGATAGGTTGAAATTTGATTATGCGTGCTTTGCATTCAATATAGTCCCAAAGCAATAATTCAATTGTTTGTAATTCTGTATCAATGGAATGCAAAAGTGTAGGTACAATGGAATGCAAGAGTAGATTGATACAGAACTAATATTCATTCTTCAAAATCGTCTGCTGGATACTGCAGGAGTGCTGGATAAAGCGTCACGATAGAATACAACGCACATTGTCTGTCATACATGAGGAACACCGTGGGTATCGACTCTCGTTAATGACTTATCAATATTTAACGTATGCTGGGAACGACGGCCGACGCCCACGTGTATGTCGGGGAACCGATAAAATGCGTAGAAGAATATGTGAGTGCACCGGACTCCGACCACTATCGGCCAGTCACTTTGCTGCACAGTCATCAAGAAAGCTGGAAACTATATGTCTAAGGTGCCTTTCGGCATAAAGTGTGTTCACTCGTGTCTGTATTTCCAGCTTACATAAGGTAGTCGATCGTCAGAAAAAGTGGCGCAGTCGGACGTATGGGTAGTCGGAAGCAGTAAAAGACGAGTGGTGCAGTCCAGGCCATGGGTATCCAGACAGTCGCCGCATGACGGCTTCAACGATTGGGACATTCGTCTGTCCGTGTAGTCCCGGTGGTAGGTTCTTCTACGAGTTGGAATCCATCTGCATTATTATAAATCCTTTAAAAAATAGCTCCATCGTTGCCACCATGAACGCTTTGCCGCTTTGCGATGGTTTTTGCAATGCCGTCGATTGGCGTGCAAAGGTGAACTCTTTTTTTATGATTTGGGGTGCTTGTTAAACATAAAACGTGCTAGCCTTGTCATAAAACGTTATTGTCGATTAGCCTTGAAATCAAGGGTTTACATAACGTTGTCTTTGGTGTTCATTTCTAATTTTTGCCTTCGTTTGTTTTGTCACGTGTTCAGCGTATTCGTATGTATGTTAAAACATACGCTAGACTTTTCGAAAAGTCATTGAATATGTATTCATGCATTGGGTATTTTCATGCGAGAGCTCTTCCTCCCTCCGTTCCGTCGTTTCCATCCCCAAGATAAACAAATCCTTCTCATCCGCACCCCCTGTTCCAGGCTGGACGATCACCTTAATTCCACATGGGTAGCTCCACCCCAGGAGCACGCCCCGGGACGGGTGCGATGACCGCCAGCGGCCCATGGCCGGCTGCGATGACCGCCAGCGGCCCATGGCCGGCTGCGATGACCGCTAGCGGCCCACGGCCGGGTGCCATGACCGCCAGCGGCCCATGGCCGGCTGCGATGACCGCCAGCGGCCCATGGCCGGGTGCCATGACCGCCAGCGGCCCATGGCCGGGTGCCATGACCGCCAGCGGCCCATGGCCGGGTGCCATGATCGCCAGCGGCCCATGGCCGGGTGCGATGACCGCCAGCGGCCCATGGCCGGGTGCCATGACCGCTAGCGGGGCTGGATGGCCTGTCCACGTCCACTGCTATTCACAGCTCAACTCCAACGGGTCACCAGGGTGCCCGCCCAGACCAATGTCTCCCGCTAATTCCTATCATCCTTCGAGCTCTGAAATGGTCTCGTCAGACCGAAAGACCCTAACCCAACAAAACAAACAAAAGCTCTGCCTTAGTGAAGTTATTGGTGAAGAGCCCAGTTAACATGCCGACGTCGGCCTGACGTCGGTTCAACCTCGGCCCGACATCGGCTGGACGTCGGATATGCCCGCATGTTCCGACGTCCAGCCGAAGTCCAGCCGACGTCGAGCCGACGTCGGGCCGAGGTCGTTTGCCGAGGTTGACGAGATCGTTTGTCGTTGGACCGACGGGGCCGACGTCGGCATGTTTATTGGGACAACGCGCCAAAAATATCAACCGGCGGCGGGATTCGAGCCCCCCAGTCGCCGACGTCGGCATGTTTACTGGGACAACACGCCAAAAGCATCAGCAGGCGATGGGATTCGAACCCCGCATCATTTGAACGCGAGGTTAGTGAGCTAACCACTACACCACGCGGCCAGATATCGCCGGTTTGTTTTGTTGGGTTATGCCCTTTCGGTCTGACAAGACCATTTCAGAGCCGGAAGGATGATAGGATGGAGACATTGGTCTTCTTGGCGAGCACCCTGGGTCCAGTCCATATAGAGTCCCTGGTCCCATTGCTGTTACGTGACACTTATTGGAAAGGGCGACCCCACAATGGATTCATATAGCCACTCTTACACACCTGCACCAACGTTTCCCAAAGTGTCCCTTTGATAGGTGGCACTTTGGCAAAGTGACACTTGCCGACTGGCCTTTCTATATGAACTGGGCCCGGCCCTGGTGAGTTGCCGGGGCTGAGCCTGACCAAAGGATAGGCCGAGCAGCCCCCAAGCACTCACCGCACCCGGCTACGGGCGAGCTCGGCTTACGGGCAATCCCAAATGGGATAAAGTTTCCCGTCCAGTCCGGATCAGGGGGTTGCGGCGTGGAGGAAGATTTGAGTTTCCTGAGGATATTTTGAATACAGAAGCTCTTTATGAAACATGAAACATGTATTTTATATTATTTTAACGGTCAAAACAGCGGCCGATGTCGGTCCGACGTCGGCCCGACGTCGACTGGACTCAGCAATTGATCTCGGTCCGACGTCGGCCCGACGTCGGCTGGACCTCGGCTGGACGTCGGTACATGCGGGCATATCCGACATCCAGCCGACGTCGTGCCGAGGTTGGACCGACGTCGGCATGCCGATGCCGAGTTGCCGACGTCACCCCGACGTCGGCCGACGTCGGACCGACGTCGACATGTTTACTGGGAGGGCTCCGAGACTTCTTGGTATCGTAGGTACTTAAGAAACTAAGTAATTCCAAAATTAATCATAGCTTGCCGTAATTTATCCAAAATATGTCAATCTGCCAAGCTAAGCTTTGTGTATATAGCATTTTCAGTTATCCGGCCTTGGTTTCTAACGCACAAAACATAGCCACGCTTGACGCTATCACACATTATTTTAGCGGCTGACCAACGTTGCGCCATGCTGTTCGAACACCTTGCATGAACGCCCGCGCATTGCGATAAGGTGCGAGCCATCAGTCGCGGCGACCGTATCCTGTATACGACCTTCGTCGCCCTAGCAGTGTGGGGGGGGGGGGGGGGCGAGCGAATGTCTGCGTGTCTTTATAGATGTGGTTCAGTTTCCATGCCCTTCCCTGGCAGCAGTCGCCTTATACTCCTGGGTGTTGTAGTACCGTGTACGCTCTGCTGTCGTTTCCGCAGCTCGCACCGTAGCACGTTTTACGACCGTCTGTGTGTGGAAAACGCGGCTGGCTGGCTACCATGGAAACGGGCGACGCTCGGGCGCGGTGGGCGGTTTGTAAGATTACTTTGGGCGGTTTGTGCTTTGTGCCTGGTTTATGCAAGAACACTGATTCAAAAAATCTGGAAGGCATTGCCCAGCATTGTCGTCGTTAGATAATTGTCAGAAAATATTTTAGTGTGCTTAGATGAACCGCGTAAACGTTGTATTTGAATGTTTCCTTGAACTATGAGAGATGGTGAGGCTCCTGAAATAATTTTGCAGTGCTAGGAGACAAACAAAAGTCCTTGCTGTATAGTCGACTACAGAATAATGTTCCACTTTTCACAGGCAATTATTTGCCTGGAGTGCTAGGCTGTGCCGCATCACACGGGCTGGGTTCACAAATTATAGCTTTGTCCCAATGCTCACAATCGACACGCTTAATAAACGGCACAACTTAGCGCTCCGGTCAACTGATAGCTTCTGAGGAGTGGAACATCATTCTGTAGTCGACTATACTAACTATTGTGTAATATTGCGCCTTTTCGAGGATGTACTCTCAGTTCTTACAAGTTAGCTTATAACGGACTTTTTAGATTAGCCAAGTTTCTGTTGAAAATCATGCTTGTTCCTATAGCGTAGGTAGAGGTAAAATCTATGTACTTTAATTATGATAACAACAACAAAAGCATATAAGTAATAACAATATCATTACTTATTAACTATATTTTACTAAACCAAACAAACATTTGTCTCGAATGAAGTTGATCGGCAGTGTGAGTTTTATTTATGTGGTAGAAGAAACAGCATCATGTGCCCAATCCCATTTTATCAAGTGCATAGTTGCCTGTGGGGAAGTCCTCACTCACGCCCTGGTGCGAGTCCTGTGGGTCTCCACGCCATCTGCAAGAGCATCCCCCTCTATCTCGACTGCTAGGTCAAGCAAATTTATGAACAGGCCGAGGGCATTGTTGATTCCACGCAGAGAAGCAATCTCATTGAATGTTCTTTAGCAATGCTATTTCATTTCCGCGACCTCTGAAATGTCTTGCCTTGGTCTGCTTATTGTTCCTGCGATCAGCATTTGCAGCACGTTTTTTTAGAAACAACCAGCCAGCTCCTAAATCTACTTTTTACAACAGCTCATACTCACAAATGTAACCGTGAATATCGCCGCAAGTATTGAAATCTAGACCAGCAGGAAACAGGCGCAAACAGGGAAGGCCCACTGCAAAGCTGTAGCCGGGAGCAATCCAAGCGGGAGACAATTCCACCGTTCGGGTGTTGGAATAGTCTCCGTAGATGGTGTCCTGTATTTGCTTGATGCCCGTCCAGACAGTTGTTGTGATCATACTTTTAGCGAGGTTCACCTGGTCTTCGTTCTCGAGGAAGGCTGGAGCAGCCCGGCGGTGGTCGACGGCACACTCGGCAGGAAGGCGGGACGTGCCCGCTATTTTACGCTCGTTGTGCGCTCTGAAGGCCCTGCTGGTGCCCGGCACCATTTGGTAGCCGTCCGGGATCCAGAGGTCGGCCCACAGCGGACCGCTGCTGGTGGCCGCCGTCGGGTCAGAGGTCACGCCCCGGTACAGGGAGCAGCCCGAGCCTGTGACCTCCCAGGACACGCAGCTGGTGTCTCTCAGACAGCGTATGGCGCACAGGACTCGGCTGGAGCCGGGCACCTCCAGCAGCGGGGAGCTCGGGTGGCGGCCGGTCACCAGTCCGAACTGCACGGCCGCAGAGAGACCGACGGCCGCCAGCAGCGCCGCCAAACCCCAGCAGAAACGCAGCAT